ATTGATATGTAAAAGACTAACAATCCAACAGAAAAAAATGAGCAAAAGATATGAACAGCGATCACAGAACCGGAAATACAAATGGCTTAGTATACAAACATAGATTTGAGGGCACCACATTCAGATGTAGCAAAAAGCCAGATATAATGTTTGTAGGGGGGAACCAGCATTCTCGAGCTTTATGGTAAGAACATAAATCTTACAGCATCCGTGGGAGCAATTTATCAATATTTATTGAAAATTACAGATGCACAACGCTATTGGGAATTGATCCTACAGATATACATGTGTAAATGGAATATTTACAAGCTCACAGTATATCTGTCATTGCAACTGTCCATCAATAGGGGGTTGGTTCATTAAACATTAGTAAATCCTTACAATGGAACATTAATCAGCTGTAAAAGATAATATATACCTACATTAATGCCTATATTACCAAGACATGAAAAAATTTCTAAGACATGTGAAGAGAATAAGGCAAGGAACAGAACAGTGTGTATCACCTGCTACTCAATGTATAAAAAGGGGGTGAAGGGCCCTAACTGGTTTGGCTCAGTGGATAGAGCGTCAGCCTGCGGACTCAAGGGTCCCAGGTTCGATTCCGGTCAAGGGCATGTGCCTTGGTTGCGGGCACATCCCCAGTGGGGAGTGTGCAGGAGGCAGCTGATCGATGTTTCTAACTCTCTATCCCTCTCCCTTCCTTTCTGTAAAAAAATCAATAAAATATATTTTTTAAAAAGGGGGGTTGGGGGGATAAGGACATATACACACATTGCTTATGTTTGCATGGAGGGATTCTGTAGGGATGCTCAAGAAAGCAGGTAGGGGGACCGAGCAAATGGGAAGTGTGTGAGCAGATGGGAAAAGGAGGGACACTTTTCACTAGACGTCTTTTTTATTAAAGCATCAGAATGAATTACTTGGTTTAAAGGAAAACCTCCCTGGAGACCAACAGCTGGGTGCATTTACTTGAATTAAACAGGAAGGATGCAACTTCAAAACAAGATACAAACAGCTTGAGTCAGCAGCCAAGGCATTTAATTTAATTGGTGGTTTGGGAGCAAAAAGAGTTGCCTTTTATCTTCCGTTTACTGTGTGCTCAGAAGCCAGCCCGCCCAGACTTCTCACCTCCCTGCTGTAATCATTATATTACAGCCAGGAAGTGAACTTCTCAGCTTGCGTGTTTTTTTTTTCTTCAATCTTCTCAGCTTTTAAGTATTGAGAGGAAGACTTCAAACACCTTAAATCCACCTCAACAACAAGCATCCATAAAAGCCTTAATTATAGCGACTTGAAAATGTCTTCCTGAAAACTGAAGTTACTGAATGCAAAATCTCTTGTACAATGGAGATAACAAGAAGAAAAAAATGCAGCAGCAAGAACAAAAAACCCGGAGCCACAAATCAGATGGAACCATCTGAAACCGCCCTGACGCAAAAAACCCTGCACTGGCATTCCAGCAAGTCGGCCGGAGCACAGGGAGGTCATGATGCTCACGCACGCCCTGAGACAAACCCCAACTCCTCTGCGCACCAAATCTGTCTGCGAGGAAGTTTCTCTGGGGCCGAGCCCACACATAGCTCCCTGCACACCAGCTTCTGCCCTCTTAAGACAATGGAGCCACTCTGTACCCTCTTTCATTTAAAAACTAGAGGCCCGGTGCATGATATTAGTGCATGGGGGGTCCCCTCAGCCCAGCCTGCACCCTCTCCAATACGGGACCCCTCAGGGAATGTCCAACTGCCAGTTTAGGGATCGGGCCTAAACCGGCAGTCAGACATCCCTCTCACAATCCTGGACCACTGGCTCCCAATTGCTCGCCTGCCTGCCTGGTTGCCCCTAACTGCCCCCGCCCCTGCCAGCCTGGTTGCCCCCAACTTCCCCCCCCTGCTGGCCTGATCTCACCCCCAACTGCCCTCTCCTCTCGGCCTGATTGCCACTAACCCTCAGTCATTTGGTCGTCCCTCACTAACCACCCTGCCAGCCTGGTTGTAGGCAGCCATCTTGTGAGGGGATGAGGGTTAATTTGCATATTGCCTCTTTATTATATAGGATGATAACCAGGTTCCCTCCTATTTGGAAATTTCCAGGCCTCTCACTGCTCCACTCCTTGTTGTGGGCACTGTCTGGTTTGCCAATGTCTAACCTACGAACGCCACGTTCTAGATGTGGCCTGGCAACACTGAGATGAAGTTTCCTGAACTCTGGGGCCCTGTGGGTTGGGACAGGTACTCCCAACACCACCAGCCATAATGTTTTTTTGTTTCTCTTTGAGAATCTTGAATTCCATCAGCACCCTCCACATCCACATACATACATACACACACAACCCAGACACCCAGACACACACACACACACACACACTCAGACACACAATGCCATGTTGTCACTTCCGATATGACAGCAGGTGTGAAGGCTGAGCCTCATTACCTCATCCTACCCAATGGGTAGGGACAAATGACCTATGAAACAAGTCCCGAGCTGATAGTCAAGAGCCCAGTTCTTCCATGTTGAGCTCTCTTGTAAGATTGCTGTGTGACCCTAAGCCAGTGGTCGGCAAACTCATTAGTCAACAGAGCCAAATATCAACAGTACAACAATTGAAATTTCTTTTGAGAGCCAAATTTTTAAAATTTAAACTATATAGGTAGGTACATTGTTATTAACTTAATTAGGGTACTCCTAAGGCTTAGGAAGAGCCACACTCAAGGGGCCAAAGAGCCGAATGTGGCTCGCGAGCCACAGTTTGCCGACCAAGGCCCTAGGCCATCACTTAGGCTCTCTAAGCCTGTTTCCTCATCTGTAAACATCCTCTAATCATCCATACAAGTTCTTCTCTCCCAACTTGCCCTCTGCTGAGAGCTCTCGGCCACCCCCTTCAGGACATACAACATCAATGCCATGGCCAACAGTGTTGGGTCTTTATGGCTCTTCCTCCATGAATAACTAGTGGAATTCAATAGGGAATCCTTTCCTTTGAAAAGCGGAGCCCTGTGTGGAAGAGCGTGGAGATTGAGCAGACCCTTTTAGGGTCTGTGATGGGCTGACTGTACAGTTGGAACTTCTGGGATGCTCTGCTATGGTGTCTTCAAATAGCTCTGAAGGCTGCCTGCGGTCCAGGGAATGTGCTCACTCTCCCAACATGACAGGCCATTCTGGAGAAAATCTGTCCCCCATAAAAGGCCACTGTTGCTCCTAAATCCTAGGGATTTTTGTAGGATTAACCCAGGAATGTCATCTTGGAAAACCATCTGTGGGAGTATATTTAGAATAATTTTCTGGGTGAAAGGGAACAAGCCTTTGTCACTTTGATGGATACTGTCGGGGCTGCACTCTGGCTAGCAGTGTGTGAGAACGGCAGTTTCCCGGAGACCGGCCAGGGCAGCATGTCACCAAACTTCGGATTTTTGCTAATCCAGTAAGTGAAAACTGGTAACCCGTCGGAGGTTTGCTATTATAGTACATTGTCTGCTATTGCATTGCTATTTCATATGTCCAAGGGCAATTTGTGTTTCATTTTCTGGGAATTGTCTGTAATGTTCATCACCCATTTTTCTATTGAGTCATTCCAAAATGCCCCTTTTAGCCACCAGAGCCACAGCCAGCACACTCTGCGGGCACTTAAAGCCTACTATGCGGAGCCAGGAAGAACAAGAACTGAACATACTGGCTGCATCACTCAGGCAGGAGCAGTTCAAGTGAACAGAGAGGGTAGGAGGAGCTGCGCTTTGTGCTGAGATTCTAGTCTTAGGAGGTAGTTCCATGCTTTCCCCTTTCCCACTGTTGAGCAAATACAACATCTTTCTAGTGGGAAACCAAATCCACGTGTTCACCACCACCCCATGGACGTGGATGAGCAGGTGCCTCAGGTCTTGCCATACTGTCTCTTCCCTTGAACTACTGTGATTGGTTAAGGGATTGTCACGTGACCTACACCTGCCCAATCAGAGCCCTCCCTGGGATTTCTGTCAGATGCAGGGGACGAAGTCCACTTTCTTTTTACCGGTGTCACTAGCTTCAAGGACACAGCAAGGCAGCTTTGCTATGTGTGGGAAGGAAGCCAACCGTTGCAAGCAAAACTGAACGAAGAAAAAGGGGGATTGAGCCCTTGGATCCCACGGGGCCTGGAACCATGATTCACCCCCTTGGTCTTTCCACTTCCACAAGCCAGGAGTGCCCTCTTCTGCTCAAGACTGGATTTCTGTCACTTGCAGCCAAAGACGTCCTAAATACGGAGACAGCAAGACTTGCACTCACCCTCTCGGGGTGGATGTCCAGAGCAGCGCAGACCGTGATGGCGAAGTGCTTGGCCCTTTCAAAGCTCCCTTTCCCGATGCTGTGAGAGCCATCTATCAGAAACAGGACGTCCACCGCGGCGGAGCACCATACAGCTGGGGAGAGGGGGACAGGCAGGTGACCATCAGCTTCCTTGCAGTCGGGTCCAAAGAGGGTCTCACTCCCAAAGCAGAGAGGAGGCAGAAAGGACCCGTGGTAGGTCAGTGAAGGAAGGGATGCTGGAAAAGGTCCAGCCAGCGGCAGCCCCCTCTGCAGCAGGAAGTACATGCCCACACGGGCATGATGCTCAGAACAAGACCCTGAAGGTCTGGGGTAACGGGAGAGTCTAATCCAACAGCACTGACTGAGTCGTGTGGCCGCGGGGGCTGCTGGGCCAGTGCGGGATCCTGAGGAGCCCTGGTCCCAGCCCTCAGGGACCACAGTCTGGTCTGGGACACAGCCAGGCACCCTGGTACATGAGTCACGTTACCCAGGAGTTCAGTAACAGCAGCACTGACCGCACCTTTCCCACGTGCCGGGCGCTGCTTTAAACACTTCATATGGACTGTTCACTTCATCCTTACATCCACCCCTAGATGACTACCTTTTAAAATATATTGTTATTGATTTCAGAGAGGATGGGAGAGGGAGAGACAGAAACATCAACGATGAGAGAGAATCATCGATTGGCCACCTCCTACTGGGGATCGAGCCTGCACCCCGGGCATGTGCCCTGGTCAGGAATTGAACTGTGATCTCTGGTTCATAAGTTGATGCTCAACCACTGAGCCACGCTGGCTGGGCGACTATTTTTTAAATTTTTAAACAGTTTTATTGAGGTATCATTCACACATCATATAATTCACCTACTTAGAGTATATAATTCAACGTTTTCAGTATGTTCACAGATGCATTCCATCGTCACCTCAGTCAATTCTGGAACATTTTCCGTCCCCTCATAAAGAAACCCAATGCCCTTTAGCTATCAGCTCCCTAGCCCCTCGCCCCCACCCCTGTTCTTACGATGCTTATTCTCACAGGAGAGACGAGGAAAGCAGGGCACAGTAACATCCCCAAGGACAAAGCCCGGGGAAGCGGTGGAGCCAGGAATCACGTCCAGGCTGTGTGGCCCCAGAGTTCAAGCCCCACCTCACCGTGAAGATGCAAGACCGCGGTAGTGAGAGAGGCACCGTGATAGGCAGCAAATGCAGGGATTTCACCAGACAGGGAGGAGGGATGTGCAGGGCCCTGGGTGTGGGCTGCTGTGGCTTGAGCACATGGAGGGGATGGCGGAAGAAGACGGAATATGGTGGTGGATGAGGCTTGTTGGGTGGACAGTGGTCACCAACAGAAGGCCTCAAAGAGTAGGCCAAGAAATTTGGCAACAGGTGAAATAAGTCAGTCAGGGAAAGACAAATGCCGTATGATTTCACTTACATGTGAAATCTAGAGAACAGAATAAATGACAAACAGAACAGAAACAGACTCATAGACACAGAGAACCCCAGAGTTCAAGCCCCACCTCACCGTGAAGATGCAAGACCGCGGTAGTGAGAGAGGCACCGTGATAGGCAGCAAATGCAGGGATTTCACCAGACAGGGAGGAGGGATGTGCAGGGCCCTGGGTGTGGGCTGCTGTGGCTTGAGCACATGGAGGGGATGGCGGAAGAAGAAGGAATATGGTGGTGGATGAGGCTTGTTGGGTAGACAGTGGTCACCAACAGAAGACCTTACTATGCTGTGCACCTGAAACCAATACAAACTAGCATTGAAAGTAAACTGTAATTGAAAAATAAATTTTAAAATGAAATTTGGCAACAGGAATTTACCAAAGGTTTTACCCAGGAGAGGGACTTGGTCGGGCGGGGAGGTGGGGGACTAGGTGAAAAAGGTGAAGGGACTAAGAAGTCCAGATCGGCCCTAGCCAGTTTCGCTCAGTGGATAGAGCATCGGCCTGTGGATGGAAGGGTCCCAGGTTCGATTCTGGCCAAGGGCACAAGCCCAGGTTACAGGCTTGATCCCCAGGAGGGGGCGTGCAGGAGGCAGCCGATCAATGATTCTCTCGGGAGGTGGGAGACTAGGTGAAAGGTGAAGGGACTAAGAAGTTCAGATCGGCCCTAGCCAGTTTGGCTCAGTGGATAGAGTGTCGGCCTGCAGACTGAAGGGTCCCAGGTTCGATTCTGGCCAAGGGCACAAGCCCAGGTTGCAGGCTTGATCCCTAGTAGCGGGTGTGCAGGAGGCAACCGATCAATGATTTTCTCTCATCATTGATGTTTCTCTCTCCCTCTCCCTTCCTCTCTGAAATAAATAAAAAT